AGAGACTCTGGGAAGCCAGCCTTGTGTCAGTTTTGTTGTGTTCTGCAACTGTTAATTTATTTAGCTCTCATCACAACCCCACGACATAAACAGTGTTGAAAACTCCCATTTCATTGACAGGGAATCTGAAACAAGGCTGTTAGGTAGCACAGCCCGAGAGCTGAGATACAGAAGTCCACGCATTTCATTCTAGCGGCAGCTTCCTAACTGTAAGCCATGCCACCTTTCTAAAGATCCTTTAGATTGTCAGAATAATCACAAGCTTCATTAAAATAGAAACCTATAGGTCTGGGGAGATGGCTCAGTGGAATAAGCACCTCCCTCACAAGCTCAAGGGCCTGAGTTCAATCCCTGGTTCCTCAAAAAAATAAAAATAAAAATAAAAAATAAAATAAAATAAAATAGAAACCTAGGTTTGATGGCAGAAATGTGTAATCTTAAATCTCCAGGAGTCTGAGGCAGGAAGATGGCAACTTTAAGTACAGCCTGGGGAATTTAGAGACTTACCCTACTTCAGATTTTTTAATTTTAATTTTAATTTTTTTGGTGGAACCGGGGATTGAACTCAGGCCCTTGCGCTTGCCAGGGAAGTGCTTATTCCACTGAGCCATCTCCCTGGCCCCCAGATTTTTTTATTTTTATTTTTTATTTTTATTTTCATTTTTTTAGAGGATTGAGGATGTTGCTCAATGGAATGGCCCTGGGTTCAATCTCTAGCACTGGAAAAATGAAAACAACTAAAGCCCTGTAATTTCAGTGTACCCAGATCGTAGCCTGCAAGGTTTATTGAGGAGATTGGTTAATAATCACTTAGGAGATACTTACTCAGTACGAGCCAAGGTCTCTTATCATCATTTCCCAACCCTCTTAATGATCTCTGTAACTTCCATGAACAAACTGGCATTCCAAAACAAAAACAAAACACCTTATTTGAGGCTCTGTTCCTATTGGCAGACCACATTTGCGAAGGAGAGGTGCACTGACATGAGCAGCTCAAGCCTTCTCTGGTCAGACAGCACACCTTAAAACGGGACTGAGATCTAGGTGCAGTGGCACCCAGCTATAATCCTAGCACTCTGGGTAACTCTGCTTAGCGAGACTGTCTCAAAATTAAAAAAAAAAAAAAAATTATATCCCCAGCTGGGAATGTAGCTCAGTTTGCAGGCCTGGGGTTCAATCTCCTGTACTGCTAAAAGGGGAGAGCCAGATAAATTGTGTACTTCCCCTCACCATCTCTCTATGCTGGGGATCCAGCATAGGTCCTGGATGTGCTAGGCAACCCTTGAGGTAGCTCTCCTAATCCTATCTTTTTATTTCATTCCTCCCAAAACAAGTTCAACCATTTTGGAAAATGTGCCACTTTTTTTTTTTTTTTGTATTTTAAGGAAGGGCCTACAGGGTGTTCAGGGTCTCACTACTAGATCAGACTCATAGTGATCTGCCTGTTTATAGCCTCCCAAGAGCTGGGATTATAGGCACATGCCACCACACCCAGTCTCACTTGCCATCTGAGTGGGCCCCGGGGCGGGGCTGGCATGGAAGGCCCCAGAATCGAACCCCCGGCCCCTGCCCCTGCCCCTGCTTGCAGGTGCTTTAATCTGCTAAGCTATTTGGCCGGCCCTGTGTGCCACATTTTTTTTTTTTGAGAGTAATATTCATATGGTGCAGGATATTAGGAGCTAAACCTACTGTTATTAGACTGCCAGATCCATTTGGATGTTCATGTGATACCAGGTTTCTCATATTCATCAATAACGTCATTGCTGTTCATAGCTATGACAGTAGTCACTTCATTGAATAATACTATATTAAGCAAAATGCTGTGTTTTATATCAAATAATTTCAAAAGACAAAATATATCTGTTCTGAGGGCTGACCAGTTAGCTCAGCGGACTAAAATGCCTGCTTAGCCAGAGCGCAGCGGCCGGGGTTCAGTTGGCCAGCATGCAGTGCCGGCCCTGCCTCCAGGGTGCGCTGAGACTGGGTGTGGTGGCGCGCACCTGTAATCCCAGCGCTTGGGAGGCTGAAAACAGAATCACTACGAGTCCAGTCTACATAGTGAGACCCTGTAGACGCTGTACTAAAATTAAAATAAAATAAATCTGTTGCGATTTGTGTAGTATGTGTCTGATCCCTTAGTTTTACAAAATTAACATTCAGACTGTATACTTTTCTTTTTTTGGCAGAACCGGGGATTGAACTCAGGCCCTTGCGCTTGCCAGGGAAGCGCTTATTCCACCGAGCCATCTCCCAGGCCCCAGACTGTACACTTTTCACCTGGCCCTGGTTTGAAGTTTTTTTTTTTTAATTTTATTTATTTATTTGTGTGTGTGTGGCCAGCTCAGCCCACCAGGGGGCGGGCTGGCTGGCATGTGGTGCTGGGGGATTGAACCGTGGTCCCTGGGCTTTGCTAAGCTTGTTCTAAGTCGGTGCTTTAGACCACTGAGCCATCTCACCAGCCCCTGGTTTGAAGTTATATCCTGTCACATGAATAGTAGGCTATATGGCAAAAAAGTTCATTTTAAAAATCCAAATCTTATTCTGTACTGTGAAAAGAACAAATATGGATCTTCACAGACTCAACACAAGGAAAATTTTTGTGTGCTTTTCCACTTTGACTCCATCCATTTTTCTGTACCTTGGCAGGCTGTATGCCACTTTATTGCAGAATTCCCTTTCATAACCTTTGTGTTGCATTCCCATTGCGTGTTCTACCCTTCGGCCCTCCTGCAGAGTGAATATTGCAGAATGTTGCTCTTGTAAGAGCTGCCACATGAGAAATAGTATTGGAATCTTTGCAAGATATGTTTCCTTTTGCCTTGCTTCATGAATCAAGCTTTATTTGGTTCATAAATCATTTTCCTCATTTTTTTTCCATTACAGAGCCACTCAATATGCATGCATGTTGCTTAGATATTTGTTAGAGCACAAAGCTGACAAAGACGTGTTAATGAAGCTCAAGAAACTGGAGTCCAGTGTGAGCACTGGCCGTAAATGTAAGTACCCTGTCTCTTGAGGGACAGTGGCTCCTGGTTTAGAGACCTCAGACCCTATAATTCACAATTGGCTTTTGAGGCCATAATTTCTCTTGAACTAAGTGTATGATGGAGTTAATCAGTGAGGCTTTCTGATGGGACTACAGGCCCCTGAGGTTGACTGTTTTGCTACAAACTGTTCACAAACCCCTGTGTGTTCACAGTTGGTGCTACACCAGGTCCTTTGCTTCATCCCGAAGCAAAGTGTTGTGTCACTATGTGGCTTCACCTCTGTTGTGAGGATCAGACAGCGTCCTGGCCATCCCTGACATGAGCTTCTAGGTCTCATGAACCCGCTGTACTAAGGACACACAGAATACCTCTGCCCTAGATTGTCTTCCCTTTTTCCTTCTCTAGAACACCGGGTAGTTCTGTATCAAAGGCAGAAGGCAAAGACAGTGATTTGCCATCATTTACTTTACTTTCATAACAGATCCTCCTGGGAAATCCAAGCATCTCTGGGCAGTTTCATGTCTGACTGTTTGATAAGGGTCATATGTGGCTCGTCAGCCAACAGAAACGTTAACACAGATGGAGAACATCACATCTTAATCAGTTGTTGTTGATTACCTGCTTCCTAAAGGAGCAGTCTTCAGTTTTATAGGAGAAAAAAGACCACATGTTATGAACAGATGTTATAAATAATGATACAAGATTTAATGCCAAGTCTGGTGGCTGGGGTAGAGGAAAAGAAAGATATTTTGAGCTGGACATGGTGGCACAAACCTATTATCCCATCACTCTGGCAGGCTGAGGCAGGAGAATTTCAGCTTAGCAACTTAGCAAGACCCTGTCTAAAAACAAATAAAAATGGCCAGGGGGTGTGGCTCAGTGCAGAACCCTAGGTTCAACCCCTAGTCCTAAAAGAGAGAGAGAAAAAGATGGGTGCATGGGTGGATGGGTGGATGGAGGATAGATTTGGAGAAAGTGGAACTTGAAATGTGGCTGGAGAGATGGAAAGAGTGTTTTTTGGAGGTGCGAGGAATTGAGATAAAGTCAGTGCAGACTGGCCTTAAACTAGCTCTGTAGCCCAGACTAGCCTTGGGCTCATGATCCTTCTGCCTCAGCTTCCAGAGTGCTGGGATTGTAGGTGGTGATACCATGCCGGGAGGAAAGAACACTGGTAAGGGATTCAGAACTGTTAAGACCAAACCCTGGGGCCAGGGAGATGGCTCAGTAGAATAAGCGCTTGCCTGGCAAGCTCAAGGGCCAGTTCCGTGAAAAAAAAGACCGAGCCCTATGATTCTGCAAAACTTAAACTAGTTTGGCAGAAAGAGAAGACTTAGATGTCAAATAAGTGTTTTTCTGGATGGCCTTGAAGGCCAAGATGAGAACTTTGACCTTTTATTTTTTTTTTAGAATGGTGAAACTCTAAGGTCCTGCAGAGGTTACTGGACCCTGAACATCCAGAGGGGGTTTACCCACGCTCCTCTAACCAGTTAGTACAAGAGCTGGAACCAGAACCTGGAGTCCATTTATTGTACTGGAAGAGTCATCACATAAACTCTTTTGTGTTGTTTTTGATAAAATACTATCAAGTACTCTTATGAATAAGTGTTCTGGGAGTAGCCACTTCCAAGCCCTTGCTGAATCTACAGCATAACCCTCTAAGGAAACACCCTCTGTAACTTTCATGATGTTTAGGACTAGAGCTCATTCTCCAGGCACTCAGTAAGTACGCATCCCTGACTAACTGAATTACACACTTCGATGAGAACATGCTGTTGCAGTGGTGATTAATCCCACTAGGGGTGCATACAACAATATTACATGTCCCATCCACTAAACCCCGTCATCTCCATCTCCGTTCTGTCTTCTTGACAGTACATAGCCAGGTGGGATTTGGACCAGAGAAATAGCACTGATGATTTTCTTAAGGCAATTTTTTGTCTAGAAAATATAGAGTAAGGCATCAGACACCAAGAGAATATTGCCCCTTGAGTTCACATCGTGGTAGTTCTGAAAAGTGTAGCCGGTGACGCACTCATGTCACAACCCCTGCTTGTGATTAACCTTGGCCAGGATGTGCTATACATCAGTGTTGGTGTTCACTGGAATGGAGAAGGGACCTTTTAAAAGTCAAATGTCTTGTAAGCCCTGCAGGATCATTCTAGGTGTCCTTACCATAGTGTAAAGGTTTCTCCCCGAGTCCCGTCTGAGCCTCAGATCCCCGCCTGTTGTTAGAAGCCAGTGCTGGCCCTCCTGCTGCCTCTCCCTCCCTCTGGGTAGTAACAAGACAGTGATAACAGTGCCCTGTCTTTCTGCAGGGTTCCGGTTAGGCAATGTGGTCCATGCTGTCCAGGCGACCGAGCAAAGCACCCATGCCACTGACCTGGTGCCCCGGTTATGTCTGACGTTAGCTAACCTGAACCGTGTGGTTTATTTCATCTGCGACACCGTCCTCTGGGTGAAGAATGTTGGTCTCGCCTCTGGCATCAACAAAGAGAAGTGGCAGATGTGGGCTGCCCGCCACTACTACTACTTCCTCCTGCTGAGCCTGCTCAGGGACCTGTATGAAATTTCCCTACAGATGGTCCGGGTGACGCAGGAAAGGGCAAAGGGAGCGAAATCAACATCTGAGGATCCTCTCGGGCACAGTGTGCTTGATGAGGAGACAGAATGGCTCCAGTCCTTTCTTCTTCTCTTATTCCGATCCCTGAAGCGACATCCTCCTTTGTTCCTGGATACAGTGAAGAACTTCTGTGACATCCTGATCCCTTTGGACCAGCTGGGGATCTACAAGTCCAATGCTGGCATCATTGGGCTTGGAGGTCTCGTTTCCTCGGTTGCAGGCATCATCACTGTCGCATATCCTCACATGAAGCTCAAGATCCACTAGGACGGCTGCAGGCTGAGCTCCAGGGCCTGTTGTGAAGATGATGTCTCAGTGGAATGGGCATTGGCATTAGTCACAAACCATGTCATACTATGATAAAGTTTTTGCACACATGAACGTTTAGCAGCCTATAATGTGAGCAGAGGTGAAGCCAAGAACAGAGCACAAAGTGTTTAGCAAGTGCTACTTCTGAATGTCTTCCCTTCCTGTAACATTTCCTGAGCATCTCTCACATAGTAGGAGCTTAGTGTCTAAGGAATGAATAAAATCAAAAAAGACCTAATCAAGCTAATAAGTGGACACTAATGTGTAGTATGGGTTGGGTGATATAGATCACTGGTTTCTTGTGCACCTGGCACTGGGATCCAACCAGTAGTGACCCCTTTCCTTCCCATTATTATCCCTCCCTCTTCCCTCATAGATGTTGGAGGAGGGTGGGGGTGAGCTGGGTTGGAGCCCTTCGCACTGGCCCCAACCATCCCTGCACGTTGTCATTGCTGTGTCCAGAAGTACAATCTGAACCTAGTCAGGGACCTTCGTGATGTAGAGGTGTCTGGGCAGAAGTCCCTCAGATGCAGCAGGCAAGGATCAGACGTAGGTGAAAGGGATTTGAAGTGAAAGTAGGTGGAAGGTCAGGACGGTGCCTGTTTAACTTGTGACAAATAAGGAAATTGACCCTGGAAGACAAACAAAACTGAGATCAACACCTTTCCTGACTCCCTCAACAATGGAGCTTCAGAATCCTGACCTTTTGCCTCCCTGACTTTAGAACTCTTGTTAAGGGTTTATAGTCCAATGCACAAAATTTTAAGCCATCTAGATTTGTTCAGGTTGTTTTTTGTTTGCTTGGGGTTTTTTTGGTGGAACCAGGGATTGAACTCAGGCCCTTGCACTTAGGCCAGGCAAGCACTTATTCTACTGAGCTATCTCCCAAGCCCCAAGATTGTTTTTATTTAAAGCCATTTAAAAATTTGGGTGCTCACTTTGACAGCACATATACTATAATTGGAACAATACAGAGAAAATTAGCATGGCCCCTGCGCAAGGATGACACGCAAATTCATGAAGCATTCCATATTTTTTTTTTTTAAAGGCTTGGGGATCTACCTGTGAGCCGATGATGGAGGCCTCTGTGCTCACATGGTGGAGGCTGGGGAAGAAGGTGATGGAGAGGGAAAGTACAACTCCATGCCCCGCAATAGCTGCTGGCAAAGGGGCGCCTCCCATTTCCCTGGAGATTTCCCAGGGCCCTTTGCCACATCTCACTTCTCACCCATATTCCAGAATCCAACTAAAATGGCCTGGTACTGTATAAAATAAAAAAATAAAATTTGGGTAAATCTACAGTTTTAAGAAAGTTTATGCAGTTAAAAATGTCATGATGGCCAGCCAGATAGCTCAGCAGACTAAAGCACTACTTAGGAAGGCATGGGGACCGGGATTCAATCCGTGGTGTGCCTTGCCACCCCCACTCCAGGGGTGTGCTGAGATGGCAACTGAGACAGACATGGTGGTGCGCCTCTAATCCCAGCACTTGGAAGGCTTAAAACAGGAGGTTCACTACAAGTTGCATCTGTGTAGTGAGACCCTGTAGACCCTATAATAAATACATTAAAAAAAATTTCATGAGTGTTCAAAAAAATTCATGAGTGTTTGTGAGTGGTGGAAGGTTAATTTTCTGTGATAAATCAGACCTCTGGTCCTTAGGCTTACTGGGGAAGGTGGGAAAGGGCAGACAAGGGCCAGGTAGGAACACTGGGGCACTGAGTCAGTGACATTTGCCTGTGCTCCTGACTACCATCTGGGGTGTACGCTGGGTCTTTATGATTTCAGGTTCTTTTGCTTGAATGATGTGAGATGGACATGGGGTACCTGCAGTGGAAGCTGACATCAACGCCACCAAGAAAGCCATAATCATACTTACCCTAAAGGAAATGAGGAAAGAAACATGCACTGACTAAGTTTCCCATAAATGTGACTGAGATTCTTGAAAAGTAGACTCAGGTTCTTGGTGTTCTGTTTTTGAAGTAATCAATGTGCAAATTAAAAGAGGATGTTGTGGGGATTTTAAAGAAAAATGAAAGTTCCTGGAGCAGGGCACATAACTTTTATTGTTAGCCCTTGTTCAGATCCTCTATGTAAGATATTAATTATGTTTAATAAATTTTTAGTCAAAACTGATTTGTGCATCTGTGAATGTGTTCTGGGTTTGGAGCAGAGTTACAACAGGAAGGCCATGCCACCGACAGTCTCTTTGCAGCCTGACCTTGGTAGAGGGAGCTCTGGCTGCAGCATACAAGAGACTTAGGTCTTGGGGTTCTGGATTGGTCTTCTCTCTGAAGCTCTTGAGGAGCTGCCCAAAGCAGACTGGACAGTGGCTATCTGCTGCCTGGAGAAGTCGCCTTGGGTTGAGCGTCTTTTGGTGGCAGCTGTCTTCTACTTTGTCCTCTGCAAGTAGGGTGGACGGCCGAGTTTGGGAAGTTCTGAACCTTGATGTGTACCTTAATGTTGTCCTGGAATGCCCATCCCTGTGCATCTTTCTCTTTCCCCAGCTAACCCCCCCCCTCCAGCCTCCATATTCACGAGGAGTCCCCAATCCAAACAAGTCCTTGCTAGAGGTACAGACCACACACTTGTAGCCAGTGCTGTTGGCTGAGAACGTATTGTGTGCCACACTCAGCTTGGGAATCTACCTGTGAGCCCAGGATGGAGACCCCTGCGCTCACGTGGTGGAGGCTGGGGAAGAGGGTGATGGTAAGGGAAAGTACAACTCCATGCCCTGCAATAGCTGCTGGCAAAGGGGCGCCTCCCATTTCCCTGGAGATTTCCCAGGGCCCTTTACCATGTCTCACCTCTCACCCATATTCCAGAATCCAGCTGAAATGGCCAAAGGATCTGCTTTGTCAACAGAGCTTTCAGGCACAGAGCTCTCTGATCCCAAGGCTGCAAACTGCCCTTTGGCCCAGGGCGCAATCCAGGCACAGCTACCCAGAGAATTCTCCTGGACCTTTAAGTGAGGGCAGAGGCCACCTCATTAGATACTGCCTGTCTCCTCTGTTCCTAATGCTGCTATCTGAAAAGCCCGGGTTGGATCACTAGGTGCCGATGTGTCACGTGTATAGTATTCCGTTTGGACTACTATAGTATTCCTCCCTGCTCGACTTCCCATGCCTCTCCTTACTATATCACAGATGTAGATTTTACAACCAAATGTCATCTTGATTGCCCCTCCCCATGCCAGGCCTCTTTCTCCTGTTGCCCATGCCTCACAGCTTAGAAGAAACTCGCCACTACAGTCCTTGTGTTTCTGCCAGCAGGAAGGGAAACCAATGTGCTTCTGTTCCCCATTCTAGCAGAGAGACAGCAATGCGAACCTGGCAGCTTTGTCACAGTCCTCAGTCATCTTGGAAGCCAGGCTTGAGTCCTTGCTAAGGATGAGATGACAGGTGTTGTCTGGCTGCTGTTGGTCCGTTATGGAATCTTGATATTCCTCCCGCTTCTCCTGACTCCCAAGAACAAAACCCCGTTGGCTGTCCCATTTTCCTTCTGTGGCATTTTAGGCCAAGGACAATTCAGTACTTTTTTTCAACTCTGGGAATTTACAGAGGTTGAAATTGCTCCAAGGACTGGACCCACCCCCCATCTCCATCTTTTCATCTTTAAGGTCAATTTATCTCCATAGTCAAAGACTCGTTCGTGCTTTCAGAGGGACCCTGTCCCCATGTGGGTTTCAGTCATGGTTTTGCTACTACATAGGAAAGGATGGGAGAAAGAGGTGGAAAAAGGGGGAAAGAGACCACACTATGGAATTAGATGGAACTTCAGAGCTCCTGAGTTTATTTTTATATTAAATTAATATTTATTTATTTGTTACAGTGTCTCACTCTCCAGCTCAGAGGCAGGGCTGGCACAGTGTGCAGTGCCAGAGATCCATTGCAGTCCTTGGGCTTGCTAGGCCAGCTTTTAGACCACTAAGCTATTTCTACAGCCCCATAGAGCTCATATGTTTAATGATGTATATCCCCATATCTTCTTTATGGGAGGAAATTTTTAGCCTTTGAGGTACAGGAATATTGCAAACTGATGCTTAAGGACGCTGGAATAATCAGACCTCTGAGCCTGGACTACCATCAGCTTTGCAGTTTACCTCCCCATTGGCCAAATGTCCTTGTAGCCGTTAGGGTGAGTCCAGGGGACTGTGAGTCACATAACCATGGCAACTGGCTGTCTCAGCTTGCTCTTCCTCTCTGCCCTCCTCTAGCTAGAGGCCTGAGAAGCATTGCCTAAGACTCCCTGAGTGGTTGGAAGAGTTCTGCTCGGAGACGCTCTGCTGCCCGGCTCTACAACCAACTGTGAGGCTGTCCGCAGCTGTGAGTGGGGGCCCAGCATGGCTGGACCTGGCTTGTTTATGGGTGCTAAAGGGAAGGAGTTGAGGGGAAGGGCTCTTGGGAATTTTTCTAGGGGTTGAAGAGCCCTGTGGGGAAAGCACCAAGGGGAAGCTTCAATGTGAAGGACCTGTAGGACAGAGCAGTGTGGAGGTCATTGGCCTTTCCAGAATGCAGCTGAGATAGCAAGTGAGTGACTGCGGTCTCACATGGCTGAACATAGAGGGGTGAGGCACTTGCTTAGAAACAGAGGAATTAACTCAGGGCTTTTTCAAAAACCAAAAAGCAATCCTGCAACTCATCCTTCTAGTCTCTTTTGGACACTCATTTAAGAGCCCTGAGGCTTCTCATAGAAAACCCATCCCTTAGCACAGCTTGCAGTCTTTGTTTCTTCTCCTGGACCCCTATAAGAAACGTGTGTCTTGCCAAGCATGGTGGCACACACCTGTAATCCTGGCACTTGGCAGGCTAAAGCAAGAGGATCACTGTGAGTTCAAGGCTAGCCTGGGCTACATAGTGAGTTCAAGGCCAGCCTGGACTGCAGAGTGAGACCCTGTCTCAAAAAACTGGGGGAAGGGGAGATAGATACATAGATCTGTTTTGACCAGTAGGCGCCGGAGTAACTCGCAGCTGTGGGACCCTCAGGAATGGCCTCCTGTGTGACATCCATTCTCCAACCTAACATCTTCTTCTAGGGCTACTAAGCTTGCTGGCAGTTTGAGCCCAGTGGGTGACCAGGAGCAGTGGGGCCCTGACCCTTCAGACTGCAGCCTGAGGGCTCCTCACAGCCTGGTACTTTCTGCTCTGCAGCAGGAAAAGTGAGGATGGCAGTGAACAAAGATCCGATGCTGCTGGATGGAGACATTCCTGTGAGTACCAGGCCAAGGCTCAGGATAGACTGTGGCTGAGGAGGTGGACATGGAGGGGGATTCAAGGACTTCAAGCGAGATGTGTCCAAATTATGGTCCCAGTTAACCGACCATGTCTCAGTTACTTGTGGCTTCACCACCCTTTGTAGACAGCTGTGGGAGGGTCTGGAGAAAAGATAAGAAGCCTATTAAAAATGAACCACATGAAAAAAAAAATGAACCACATGAGGCTGGTGAGATGGCTCAGTGGAGTAAGCGCTTCCCTGTCAAGAACAAGGGCCTGAGTTCAATCCTCGGTTCCGGGGGGGGGGGGAGAGAATGAGCCATGTTGGAGAAAGCTGGGTTCTGGAGCCTCCTGTGGCCCTGGGACCCTTGCGGCTGTGCACAGCGCCTCCCAGGGCTCAGCCTTTGCCACTGTCCATGGGAATGAGGTAAACATGTAGTGCATCTAGCATTTATCTTTGACCTGTTTTTCACCACACATTGGAGTTGTTTTGATACTTTTAGATGTGCTTGATCCGTCTTGTCAAGGCCTCTCTGATTTGGGAAAAGTTCAGATAGTGAAACTTGAAAGTTATGAATCCATATGGTTCTCATTTCATTGCAAATGAGGTTTTAACCTTTGCACTAGATCAGTAGGCTAAATTTTATATTGAATCATAGAATACAAATAGGCAGAGAACGGTCATGTGCATAGTTAAGCCTTTTTAATGGGTGATAGATTTTTTTTTGTAAATTTTTATTTATTTATTTAGTGTGTGTGTGTGTGTGTGTGTGTGGCCAGCTCAGCCCACCAGGGGGCGGGGCTGACTGGCATGTGGTGTTGGGGGATTGAACCCGGGTCCCAGTGCTTTGCTAAGCTTGTTCTAAGTAGGTGTTTAGACCACTGAGCCATCTCACCAGCACATGGGGTGATAGATTCTTCTTTTCCCACATTTCTTTCTCCCTTTGAGTTTGTCCAAAACAATCCTGAAAACTGCCCAGAATGTTAAAGAAAAGGGTTTTTAGCCAGGTGTGGTGGTGCAGGAGGATCATAAGTTTGAGCCCAATATTGCAACTTGGTGATTTGGCAAGACCTTGGTTCGAAAATCTCTGAATCTGTCTCCACATCAGCAGAGTGGCAGTGGTAATGCTGACACGGGCTCACTGTTGGAATGAGATGAAGGCAGGTCACCAAGGCACCCATAGTGGTACCTTCTGCGTGCCTGGAATCTGTTCTTTCAAAGACCAGTCTTTTCCCACCAAAGATCCTAAGCAATATGAGGTTTAATTATGTTGACAACTGCCACAGTTAAATGCTCTGACAAGAGTACTGCACCTCAAAAAGGAGAAACAACGGTCCTACCACTCCTTTGTGTGGGGATGCAGGAGGATCATAAGTTCAGGCCATACCTGGAACATTGTCTTCAAACCTGAGTGTGTATTTTTTTTAAAAAAAACAATGTCAAACTGCAGCATATCCAGGGGAGGGGATCACCAGACCATGGTGTGGATTATTCGTAAACTGAATTAGGACTGAGACCTCTTCACTATGGAGAAGAGTCCTTCAAAGAGGCTGGGGAGATGGCTCAGTAGAATAGTCACTTGCCTGGCAAGTACAAGGGCCTGAGTTCAATCCTTGGTTCCAAAAA